TCGAATGAACTGTTTGTCGAATACAGAATACATATATTTTAGAACAATTTTCTTTTTAAAATGTGGATGAAATGTTTTGCTTTTTATGTATTTTTTATGTATTGTTTTTGATTTGATAACTTTGAACTAAACAGATTTTCTATTAGCTTCAGATCTTGATCAAAGTTAGGCACCCAGTTCATAGGAGTGCTTATATTGATTTTCTGACATCTTGTTTTCTGTAAAGATTTTATTGGTAGGTTTGCAAATGTGTATCAGACTGTGCAATCTCTCCATGAGTTGGTTTTGAAACCCAGTATGGGATTCTGAGATACATTACCAAGGATATTATTACAAGATAAATCATTTGCTTCATTGAACACATACAACAATGCATATTTCCACTGAGATCAGTGACCTTTGATGTGTATCACCAGTGATCAGTCAAGTAGAAACAGTCAAAATATTTTATCAGATTTTCTCAATTTTTGCATGATATTTTCATACAGGACATCTGTTGTTCATACTCAGGAACAACTTTATACTGATGAATAAGGTGACCAAGTTTGATGAAGTTTGGAATAGAATTAGTAAAGTTATTATGCACACAATAACAATTATTAACGACGACAACGACGACAACGACAACAACAACAACAACAACAACGACAACGCCAGACAAAATTTTTCCCTTAATATACCTTTCCCTTCCATCTTTAATGGTACGGGCAAGGTAATAAAACAGAGCTAGAGTTGTCCGCGGTGAAACAGCCGCATTGAAGACGATGCAACTTCAACTAGCCATTTCATACCTTGAAATAAAAAAAATAAAAAAAAATTCGAAGAGCATCGGGGAAAATATTAATAATCATTCTTATCAATCACTTGCGTTATTTTATTTGAATCCATGAAGGGTCGTCGCACCATCCAATTTCCGGCTTCAAAATTATTAGCTGAAAAACATTGGTATATTTTGACAAACGGATAGAATTTTATCTCAGTTCAAGAAGAAAATACTAGGCTGAGATACATTAGATTCCATGGCGAATCAGTTTTCGCTGCAAGTTTGGAAATAAAGTAAACCAGAGTAGGGTCGATGATTTTCAGCCCTGGAGGACTTCCGTGTAAATCCTGGGTTTCGAACTGTTCATCGACTGGCCACCAAATATTTATGGCTATAACTAAATTTGACACGTTATTTTTAAGCCCAATAAAATATTCATACATGTCAAGCTCTGTTCGATTTTTTCAGGGCACGTAGCCGTTTTTAGTCAAAAATATTTTTTGTGGAAACAGTTTTACATTCAATGATCGTGACTTATTTTTGAAAATTGAATGTCAAATTTCACCAGACCGACCGACGTGGATTCAGTGGGATCGTTGTTTTTGAAATTAATCATTAACATTTCTTCGTTTCTCTGATCTGTCAAAATGAGTTACCTATGCTTTTTTCACGTAACTGTCTCATTAAAATAATTTAAAATATTACATCTAGAACAAGCACCCAAAAAACGTAACAAGAGGTCCCAGTTCAGTTGCTTTCATGATACAAGTGTCATACAACTATTAGATTTGAAGTGTCATTCAGAATTTAATAATACTTAATACTAGTTGTATGTTTACACTTTACTATCAAAACCACCATTTCGACCACTCATGTGCCAGTGATCAGTGTTTGGGCGAGCGGTCGGTGTTTCAATGAGCGAGCGAGCGAAAAAAAAACGCAATTAAAATGCGAACGGTTTCCGGTCGGACAAAATAAGCGGTCGATGTAAAAGCGGAAGGTTGCGTGAAATAAGTACTGTATGCCCGGACTGTATGACCATGTCTCTCTGACAAAGTCTCGACTGACAATAATGCTGACAATGGACGTTAGATAAACACGCATTGTTTGCGACGGGAAGCTTATCACCCGTTATATCAGAATCGTCAACAACAGAGTACCGGTATACAGATAAGATGTTATCATTTAAACCGTTCCAAAGATAAACATTATGCAAATATCCACAAAACGGCAGTTGTAGTCTTTTCTGCTAGCGTTTTAAAACACTAATTTAAGCAACGTTATTTCGCAATTTCGATCTTTTGTAAACGTGGGATGATGTATCAAGGTCTAAAGTAACCGTTTTATCAATTTTTGAAAAATCAAGAAAAAAGTGAAAATTTCCCTTCTACACCATCTCTCAACAAGCTAGTATTGAGTTTCCAGTAGGGCCTTAAATTTGTTCATTGAGAATCCTGTAAATATGCCTTGTTACCCATTGGTTATCATTAAAAAAAACAAGCAGCCTGCCGGCTGAGATAGCTCCGCTGTTAGCAATGCACATTTCAATTAAAGAACAGAAGATATCATTAGAAAATGAACAATATGTATAGTATCAAAGCAATGGGACTTCCTGTTTTCAACAAGAAGTCGAAAATATAATTTTTACCAAAAATATTCATCAAAATTAGAGAATTAAAATGAACAAATCTGAGAGAGGTCCACATGTAGTACCTAATTATGTAATATCAAAGCAATTGGACTTGCGTTTTTTAACAAGAAATCAAAAACGTAACTTTTTACCAAAAATGACAAAAATATTCACCAAAATTAGAGAATTAAAGATATCATTACAAAATGAACAAATCTGAGAGAGGTCCACATGTAGTACTTATATATGTAATATCAAAGCAATTGAACTTGCGGTTTTTAACAAGAAGTCAAAAATATCACTTTTTACAAACAAGCAGCCTATCGGCTGAGATAGCTCCGCTGTTAGCAATGCACATTTCAATTAAAGAACTGAAGACATCATTAGAAAATGAACAATATGAATAGTATCAAAGCAATCGGACTTACAGTTTTTAACAAGAAGTCGAAAATATCACTTTTTACCAAAAATGGCAAAAATATTCACCAAATTAGAGAACTGAAGATATCATCACAAAATGAACAAATCTGAGAAAGGTCTACATGTAGTATCTATATATGTAATATCAAAGCAATTGAACTATTGGTTTTTAACAAGAAGTCGAAAATATCACTTTTTACCAAAAATTACAAAATATTTACCAAAATTAGACAATTGAAAATATCATCACAAAATGAACAAATCTGAGAGAGGTCCACATGTA